AATAGAGAGCACCAAAATAAACCCCTGCATATATAGTCAACTAATATTTGACAAGGGAGCCAAGAACACTCAATTGAGAAAAGATACTCTCTTCAACAAATGATGTTGGAAAACTGGATAGTCGTATGCAAATAATGAAACTTGACTGCTATCTTAACACCACTCAGAAAAGTCAACTCAAAATGGACTAAAGACTTAAACGTAAGGAGTAAAATCATAAAAATCTTAGAAGGAAACAGTAAAAAATCTCCTTGACACAGGTTTTGGCAATGATTTTGTGGATATGGCACGAAAACCACAAACAACAAAAGCAAAAACAAACAGGTAGGACTACATCAATATAAAAGTTTCTGCATAGAAAAAGAACTGATCAACAAAATGAACTGGCAACCTAGAGAGAGGGAGAAAGTATTTGCAAACTATACACCTAACAAGGGGTTAATATCCAAAACATATTAAGAAATGCTCAAAGGACCTGAATAGACATTTCTCCAAAGAGGATATTAAAATGGCCAACAGGTACATAAAAAGTACTCAACATCACCAATCATCAGAGTAATGCAAATCAAAATCACAACAGATATCACCTCACACGTGTTAGAATGGCTATTATCAAAAAGACTAGAGATAACAAATGCTGGCAAGGATGTGGAGAAAATGGAACCCTTGTACACTGTTGATGGGAATGTAAATTGGTGCAGCCACTATGGAAAACAGTATGGAGTTTCCCAAAAAAATTAAAAATAGAACTACCATATGAATCAGCAATCCCACTTCTGGGTATACATCTGAAGGAAATGAAATAACTATCTCAAAGAGATATCTGCACACCATGTTCACTGCAGATTATTCACAATATCCCTGATATGGAAACAACCTACCTGTCCACTGACAGATGAATGGATAAAGAAATTATTACACACATGTGTATATGTATGTGTGTGTATATATACATATACACATGAGTATTATTCAGTCATAAAAAAAGGAAATTCTGCCATTTGGGACAACACAGACGAACCTTGAGGGCATTATGTTAAGTGAAATAAGTCACACAGAAAAAGACAAATACAATATGACCTCAGCTACATGTGGAATCTAAAACAACCAAACTCACAGAAACAGAGAATAGATTGGTGGCTGTCAGGGGGTAGTGGGGGCTGGAGGGTAGGAATGAGCCAAAATGATCAAATGGTATAAACTTCTAGTTTCTGGGATGTAACATACAGCATTGTGACTATAATTAACAATACTACATTGTATATTTGAAAGTTGCTAAGAGAGTAGATCTTAAAGGTTCTCACCCCACCACACACACACACAAATGGTAACTGTGTGAGATCATGGATGTGCTAACTAACCGTATAATGGCAATCATTTCACAATATATACATATATCAAATCATTACATTGTACATCTTAAACTTACACAATGTTACATCTCAATTATATCTCATTAAAGCTGGAAAAATGATGGCTCTCATATGTAAATTCAGGAAGGTTATAGGATATGTATAAAAATATATAAAAATTGACCACATATGTATAACACCAGCAGTGAGAAATTAGAAGATCAATTTAAATAATCAATACCAGTTGCAATAGCATCAGAACATATAAAATATCTAAGAATAAATTTAGCAGGAGATGTATTAAACCTCTACAGAGAATTTTCTAAAAACCTGACTAAATGGAAAGAGAAATCATATTAGTGGATTGGAAAGTCCAATGCTGTTAAGATGTCAATTCCCTCCTAATTGAATCATAAATTACACACCATCCCAATCAAAATCTAAGTAAGCTTTTGTGTGTGTGTGGAACTAGACAAGCCAATTCTAAAATCTATATGAAAATGCAAAGTTAAATATAGACAATATAGTATTGAGAAAGAACAAAGTTGGAGGACTTAAACCACCTGATTTCAAGACATTTAATAAAGCTACCATATTTAAGGAAAAATTTATAAACTATTAAAAAATATTTTAAAATATTAGGATTAGTATCTATCTTTAAATCTTCAAACTCTTTTAGCTGGTATAATATCTATTGCTTGTTCTATCTATCTTTGTTGCTGGTGTTTATACGTATTTAATTTTTTAATATATTTATATCTTAATTTTATACTGACATTTTTACAGCATTCTTGCTTGACTCCTATATTAGTTCTTTTCCTTTACAAATTTTGTGTGTGTGTGTGTGAAGAAGATTAGCCCTGAGCTAATATCTGTTGCCAATCCTCCTTTTTTTGCTGAGGAAGATTGACCCAGGGCTAACATCCTCACCCATGTTCCTCTACTTTATATGGGACACCGCCACAGCATGGCTTGACAGGCAGTGCATAGGTGTGTGCCCGGGATCTGAATCTGCGAACCCCAGGCAGCCAAAGCGGAGCACACAAACCCAACCACTACACCACCCGACCGGCTCCCTTTACAAATTTTTATTACAAAAATTCCTGTCAAAGTTCAAGTCTGAAGAATGGCACCAGGAAAACACACATATATTCAATAATAATTATTTGTATTATTATTATCATTATTATTATAATAAAAATACTAATACCAGTTGATAATATAGTATAGTATACTAAATACTACTACTAATAATTATAATAAAACTAATAATTATTCAATAATTATTATATTCAATAATAATAAATAATAATAAAACCACTTATATTCAATAATTCTTATCATCTGCAAGACCTGAACCGTTGCTGATGGTCTTTCCTCAAACTTTGGCTGAGGAAGGACCAAAAGCAGGAACTGAGAATAAAAACAAATTCCTAGGAAAGGTCTGATTGTTCTTTAGCCATGGTAACAAATAATCCCCAGAACTGGTTTAAGATTTACCTAATCTATATGTCTCTCACAGTAACAGTAACCAGTAGTACCAGAACTGCTTTCAAACCTGTCTAATGTGTCAACGGCAATTTACTTCACTGTACACGTTACTAAAAGTCAACCAACTATACAAATGGGTCAGTGTAAAAATCACAGTACAGACTTCTTTTTCTGACGCACTCTCAAATTAGTTCACTTCTCTACTTTTCATATAACTTGTAAAAGGAATACAATTCTTCAGTAAGAGCCCATTCTCACTTTCCCCAGAAAGCAGGAGATTATGAATTTTTGACGGCAGTTTCTCCCTACAACAGTCTGCTCCTCCCAAACATATAATAGAGAATTGAATGCAATAATAAAATAGTTACCTTAAAATAGAAAATATAATTAATGTCACTTAATAGAAAAGCACATGAATGTACATCAATTATCATTTTTGAGAGAAAAATTGATATGTTTAATAATTAACATTAAAATTGCTTTGATTATATAGTAAATATTGATGCAAGCATACTACTATTCAAAACAATTAAACTTTGATGACTTACAATGGCCAAACGTTTTTTTTTAAATGACAATATGAGCAGTACAATTGATAAATGTTCTATTTTTTATTTTATTTTATTATTTATTATTATTTTTTTGTGTGTGTGAGGAAGACCAGCCCTGAGCTAACATCTGTTGCCAATCCTTCTCTTTTTTGCTGAGGAAAATTGGCCCTGGGCTAATATCTGTGCCCATCTTCCTCTACTTTATATGGGACAGTGCCACAGCATGGCTTGACAAGCAGTGCGTTGGTGTGCGCCCAGGATCAGAACCTGCGAACCAACAAAGCAGACCGTGTGCACTTAACCACCACACCACCGGGCCCGCCCAAAAATGTTCTATTTTTTAAAGCAATTATATACAGTTCAATTTTGATGCTCCAACTTAGTAATATAAAAAACTATTAAAGGATGAGTAAACTAATTAATATGTTTATTCATGCTTTAAAATATTTAGGAAATTGTGAAATGTGAAAAGAATGAGAACAAACCAGATAATAATTACATACCAGAGCAACTCCTGCAGCATATTTCTTATTACATATCTTTCCAGGAAATGTGGCTCCTATAAAACTAGTTCTTTTCTTGAAGCTAAAAGATAAAAATTTTCCTCATAATTACATTTAAGAGTAGTATTATTAACAATAATTTTCATAGCAGCAAACATTACTGAACAATTACCATGTCCTAAACACTATCATTCTCTAAATTAAACTATTTGAATACATTTTTCAAACCTTCAATGTTGAGAATATTTCAATATATATTTACAAATTTTGAATGTGACAAACACTGAGAAATATAGTAAGCATGAGGCCTAACAGCTTATGCAAAGTGCCACTGCACTAATGGTTACAATTTTTATTTTGATTCCCTCTACATTTATAGCCCTGAAAATTCAATTTTCTGTGACCTCCTTGTTCATTTATTCACTGAAGATGAATAGATTTTTCTGTGCATTAGATTCTAGATGGTGTAACGTTTCAATAGATTCATGTCATTGGAATATAAAAACATAAGCATTATTCAGATGAGAGACAAGAATGTAGAGATAAGATAACAGGTAGTAAAAGTTATAAGCCAAGGGAAATCAAAGAAATCATTTCATTCATAATTTATCTCCTTTAGTTATTTCAATATGTTTATGTAATTTTACTTTTATCAGGTAATTTTATGTCAGTTGATCAAAGTTTTTAAGTCTTGCCTCACATTTGCTCCTTGAAGACAAGGACTTTTAACTTATATATTTTTTTCCTATCACATGGTGTCTATCAAATTTAAGAACACAGTTTACCTTAAGCAAATGTTTATTTTTCATAATTAACGTATGAAATAATATTGGGTTATCCTTTAATGTTACACAAATATGGAATACTATACTCACGCAAAAAAGTATGCAATATGATGAGGTCGGAGGAGATGTTTGGATTTCCACTCTAAAAATCTAGATAATATATGATTAGGAGACCCTATAGTAGAAATTTTGTTTTTATTTGACCAGATTTCTATGGAAGATATTACAACAGTCATTTTTAACTGGGTAAGCATCTAAAAGGAGAAGATAAATAAAAAATTTTAAATAAATTTGAACATTATATTAAACTTTTATAAAAATACCTTTAAGACTTCTAATTCAGTATTTTGATTATGGAAACTCTTCAACAGCACAGCAAACTACTATACACATCAATTGATATTACTTACACTTTTACAAAATATATAAACAAGAGTTTTTAAAAACTTACAGTGTTAACAAAGCCAATTATCTGAATAATCTTCTGTGTTACAGCCTTTATATCAGAGCCCATGTAATCAAACTGAAAAAGATAAATTATTTTTGAAAACTAGTGGATGATGTTAATATATCACATATGCTTTACATGTATAATGTGCTATATTCTTAAATAGCTATGGGGCCACATTCCAGTTGAAATCCAGGAAACCAATAATGAGTATAAATAATAATTTATTTAAAAAAAATAGGGACAGCCCTGGTGGCCTAGTGGTTAAGTTCCATGCACTCCGCTTTGGTGGCCCAGGTTCAGATCCCAGGTGTGGATGTATACCACTCATCTGTCAGTGGCCATGCTGTGGCAGTGGCTCACATACAAAATAGAGGGTGATTGGCAACAGATGTTAGCTCAGGGTGAATCTTCCTCAGCAAAAAAGATGAAGATTGGCAACAGATGTTAGCTCAGGGCAAATCTTCCTCAGCAGATTAATTAATTAATTAATTAATAATTAATTAAAATTTTAATTTATATAATAAAAACAACATGATTTTAAACAATTTTTAATGCACTCAACTTGGGAGTTACTCACTGTTTATGAAAATTTAATTATAAATTTTTTAATGTGGTATTTCAAAATATAGTTATGTCTAAAATAATATATATAATCACAAACCAAAAAATATATGAATAACAAAGGAAAATCCTTAATGAGAGCCTCACTTTATTGTGATCCGGGATCCCATGTTCAGATACAGCCTTTCACGTCACCATGTAACTCATGTTCTAATTTCTTCTTTATTCCAATAAGCCCTTTCTTTGTCTAATGTTTAAAAATGCCAGGAGAATGTTAAATAGCAATGGTGATATCAGGCATCTGAGCTTTGCTCCTGATTTTTCATTGGAAAACCTCAAATATTTCAACATTAAGTGGTGTTCAGTTTAAGATGAGTATTTTGGATCATGTTCAGAAACATCTATTTATAAGTCTTCCTATATACTAAAACTTTTATAAAAATAGAGTTGAGTTTTTATCAAAAGCCTTTTTGAAGCATACAAAAATGATAATGATTTTTGTCTTTTGACCTATTTATGCAATAAATTTCATTGATATATTACTTAATATTAAACCATCATTATATTTTCTATCAAAACTTTACATACTATTAATATACTATTAAAATTAATATAATATTTTGTTTAGAACTTGGAAGCATTAAGAAATATGGGCCTGTTGCTCATATATGTGTGTACACACACTTTTCATAATTGAGCAAATGAATGTTGCTTAGCAAATATTAGAGCATTACCTAAAATTGTTAAGCTTTATGTTTTTCCTATATCCTAGAATTGTATTAGCAACTGAATTATATCTTCCTGAAAGATTTTAAAGAATTCTCATTTAAAAATATCTATACCTAACACTGGAAACTGATCTATTCAATTTCTTTTTTTTTTCCAGCTTCTTGAGATAAAATTGATATATAACATTGTGTAAGTTTCAGGTGTACAACATGATGATTTCATTTAAATTCTTATTTCCTTTGGAGAATTCAACAAATTTGTGTTTATTTGTTTGAATCTTCTCCAAGCCCATAGTTATACCATCTTAATCTTTTTTAACATCATAACATGTTTTCTTCCTTTTGCTTAATTATACTTTCTACCTATTTTTTTTAACAAACCAGCTCTTGAATTTACTTATCCATTTTAATGTTTCTGTTTATCATCAACTTAGCCTTCTTACTAATTATTGCCCATCCTCCTTACATTTCTCTTGTTTTAAAGTTTTGAAACTTTAAATTAGAAGCTTCATCTATATATTTTTCATTCCTACTTCCTAATAGCAAATTCTTTCAAAAATATGAGTTTCCTCTGTGTTTAGTTTTGGTACTATCCTCTGTGGTAGGCATTATCCCTATTTACCAACATTCAGTTCCTCCTAGTTCAGGAACTCTTCCTTTCTAAAGAAAGGCATGGCCAGGTGATTTACTTTGGCCAATGAAATGAAGGCAAAAGTGATGAATGTCACTTCTAAGGGGAAGTATTTCCTTGTGGTGGCTCACATCTCTCTGGTCTGCTCTTCTACTGGCTTGGCAATCAGAAAGCAAACTATCAATATAGAAATGCCAAAAAAATCTAAGCATTCTGGAGTGGAGAGCCAACATATGGAAGACAGTTGTCCTGGAGAGTCACCCAGACCCATGGCTGACATTGCATGAAGGAAAAATGAACTGCGTTTAGCCACTAAGATTTTGCAGTTATTTTTTACCATAGCAAAATCTAGCCTGTTCTGATTAATACAAATTCTCTAAATTTTTAAAATACTGTATACAATTCATTAATTTCTAAATAGTTTATAACTATGGGTTTTTTCCAACCTTGAAAAAGTTACTCATAATAGTATTTAAAATTTTTCATTTTAAATACTTTTATGTATTTAATAACTTTTAAATTTAAATGTATTTAATAACATTTAAAAACTTTTCATTTTAAATAGTATTTAAAATTCATATTATTTTTTGCCTTATCTCTTTTTATTCCTTATTGTTTTAATATGTAGTGAGAGAGTTTTGGAATACAGGTTTTACTTTTACAAAATTATTGGTGTTTTCCTTGTCACCTAGAGATGACTACCTTTGCTTACATTTTCTACAGATATCTATAGACATTTGAATGTGTGTGGCACCACTCATAAGGTATGAAGGTGAGTAAGTGTCTAGTAAAGCAAGCTGATAAATAATTTGATCTTTATATGTTAACATTTATTTTTTGTCTATCTGTTAAAGGCTAAAAGAAATGCTTTAATGTGCTCCACTATAGTTTTGGTTTCTGTTAGTTTCTTTTGAGTATTTCCAGAGGTTTTGTTTTTATAGTTACATCATAACTCACTGGGCAACTAAATGTTTATTACTAAAAACACACCTTTAATTTGAATTGTATTTTTCAATATAAAATATTCCTCTCATTCTTCTACTCAAGGCTTTTTATCCTGAATTTTACTTTATCTATTAGTAATATCATCCTGATTTTCTCTTTGATTGCTAATCTTGGCACATTTTTGTTGGTCTTTTAAAAACTGTTTTATACCTAATACTGCCATTTTGTTTTAAGCTGTTTCATAAATGTCATCTAATCTGAGATTCTTCACACTTTAATAGGGATGTTTAACTCACGTTATTGTGATCAATCAAGTTGTCCCACAATTTTCTATTTTCTCATTCATGTCCTCACAGTATTTCCTTTTGACTTTTGCTATATTATATGAAAATATTTTGGGGTTTTTTTTCTGTGATGATTTCAAAGTTATACATTCAGGATTGTATAATCAAATACGTTTAAACATTGTAAAACAAGTTTCTTCATTTTTGTCAACTGGACACATCCAGACAAGAAGACCTCAAGCCTTTGGAAGGTGAAAATCAAAAATTGTGAGGATTCATCAAGATTTAACTATTTTTTCCAAAATAGTTAATAATGCTTACCAGGAAGATGCTGAATATGGTTATGTAAATGAGGCAACACCACAGCCTACCAATTGATTGGAGGCAGCATTGCATTTCTTTTTCTTTTTGACATAATGATAAAGCCTACGTAAATAATTTTTTTGAAATGCATGTTTATTTGTTGTCACCCTACTCTAAAACCTTTAGATCAACTTTATTAGGTACAATTTATATATAATTAAATTCACCCATCTTAAGGATTCATTAATTTTGATAAATAGCACTTTTTATTTTGAAAAACAGTCAACCTACAGAAAATTGAAAATTTGAAGACTATCCATATATCCTTCACCTAGATTAATTTATTATTAATGTTTGTCACATTTAGTTCTTTCTATTCATCTTTATCTATTGTCTATGGATGTGGATCTGGGCATACATCGTTCATTTTGCTGAACTATTTGAGATTAAATTGCAAAAACTTCAGCATGTAGCTCCTAAGAATAAGGATTTTCTCCTGTTTGCCCACTATACCATTACCATGCCCAAGAAATTTCTTATTAATTCAATACCAAATGTATAATATATAATATCTATATTTCATATCTAATAACTATCTATACATATGTATGACATAATATCTGTATGTCACATCTAATTATATGTAATATCTAATGTCAAATATGTAATGTTCTTGGGCAGGGAAGTTAATCTGTAGCCCTGCCCATTGCCAAATACAGTCTCCAACCCTGCCAACCAGGAAACCTAACCAGAACTCCTGGGAATCTTGGTAGCCCAGCTTGCAGTCCTGATTGCAGTGGCACTTGAGTGGAGAGCCTAGTCAGCGGAACTGCAACTGCAGAGCCAAGACAGTGGCCTTGACTGGCCAGGGAGCTTGCGGTGTGGTTATGTCTGATTTGACCTACAAACAAAGAGCATTTCTGGTAAGGGGCCTGTTCTGCAGCCCAAACTGGGCAGGAAACTAATTTATAGCCCCATCCAAAACTGAATACAGCCTCCAGCCCAGCCTGACAGGGAAACCTAAGAGGAGCTCTGTGAACCTGTGTAGCCCAATCTGCAAGTCCAATTAGAACAGATCTATAGCAAACAGCCCAGGCAGTGGTCCTACCATCCTACCATCTACAGAACTAGAATGGTGGCCCATCAGCCCAGGGAAGTTGGTGCATAATTTTGCCTAATTTGACCCCCCCAAAAAAGACTGACCAGAATTATGCCAAAGGCAGGGAATCTAATTGATAGCCCAGCCATCTGCTGAATATAGCCTTCAGCCCATCTGATCAGGGAACCTATCAAAGTATATAGGATGCTGCGTAGCCCATCCTATAGCCCTGCTTACGGTGGCGCTTGAACAAAGAACACAGCCTGCAGCTTTCTATATTTACAGAGTAAAAGTGATAGCTCCATCTGGCCAGGGAATTCAGTGCAGAGTGTTGCCTGACTTCGGTCCTCAAACATGAGCTGTGGAGGCCCTGGGGCTCATTCTGCTGCCACACCAGGACAGGGAAGCTAATTCATAGCCCCACCTACTTCTGAGTATATACCCAGTCCTGAACATCTAGGAGGCCTAACTAGAGAATCCAGGCAACTGCAGAGCCCATCCTACAGCCTCACTTGGGCAAG